GGCCAAAGGTCTTCTTTGTTTTATAATGTGTATGGCAGGAACGATGAACCTGAACAATATTGTTTAAGCTCTCCAAGGCTGTGAGGGTAAACATAATTGGGATTAAAATACTGACATGCTCACTTTTAGTAAAGAGATAAGAACAATTCAGTGGGAGTATTCGGTCCCACTGATAATCACATAATTGAACACGATTTTTAGAGGATATCTGAATCTATTGTTGTTTGTTGTGCAATTACAAACTGGGATTCTCTGTCATAAAATCTTTTTCAAACACACGTGGGTTAGTACTAAGTAAATTTAGGGCGGTTATATTTTTACTTCCAATACTTTTAATTTTAAGGCAGAATCCTATACCAACACTTAAGCTTTACTTTACCAAACAATTACAGATACTGAAGATGAAAATAATTGGTTTACTTTAAAAGTACACAAGAAAAAAAAAACTTCGACGATACAGAGAGCTTGCAGAAATGCAAATTGGAAGAGCCTCCCCCGTGACCGGACTCCACGCCCCGCGGGCCGTCGCTCCTCCCGCCCACGCCCGCGGCCGCGCGTGCGGCTTCCACAGGGACGCACAAGTGGGCGCTCCGCCGCGGGCTCGTCGCGGGGCTCCTCTTCCACGCAAGCACGCGTGGCCATCGAGGCTGATGCGGCGACGTGGCGGGAAGCGCAGGACACGTCGCCGCCTCTGGAGTTTTGTCTCCGCAGGGCCCCAGCCAGGCAGCGCTGAGCACAAAGGCGCACGGAGCCCAGCCGGACCGGACCAGGGCCCTACCCGGCCGCACAAAGCCGCGCTCCGGCCCCGCCCCCGCAGCGACTGCCCCGCCCCTTGATGAATATGCATGAAGCGTTCAGTCGCCCCGCCCCCCGCTGTCCTTCCCGCCGCCAGGCGGAAGCGGAGAGCCACGCTTCCCGCGCTCGGGCAGCCGAGCGGGGCGGGGCGTCGGGCTCGGGGCGGGGCGGGCCGCGCGGGAGGAAGAGAAGGCCGGTGGCGGCGGCGGCGGCGGCTGCGGCGCGGGGATCGCGGGGTGCGCGGCGGTTCCGGGGCCAATCCGAGGGCGGCTGAGGAGCGGAGGCGCGACCCCGCCGTCTCGTCTGGCGGCCGCCTCTGTCCCACAACCCCACCCGAGCGGCCCCGCCGAAACAACAATAAAAGGCAGCACACACGCGCGCACGCGGGCACACACACGCACGCGCACGCACGCGCGCGCTGGACGGCGTTCAAACCCTCCGCGAGACACGGGCTCCTGCGAGTGAGAGGACGGGAAACTGGGGATCCGGACGGAGCGGCCGCCTGCTCCTAGCCTTGCCTTTGACCTGTTCTTCTTGGCCAAGAATTGTGGCAGTGCAGAAATAATAATTTTAAACCATATAGGACTACTCTCGGATCGCGTAAAAAACACAAAAAGAGACACCAAAACAGCCCTTGCGAACAATCCACAAATCCGTGCCTGAGACACGTGAAGTCCGCGGCCCAGGGTTGTTAACAGATCAAGACCTCTTTTATTTAGGGCCTTACCGTGCGATGGTATGTGGCTTTGAAATGACGGGTTTATTTGCGTGTCTGTTTGTCCTTTGCACCCTTTTCGGCCCTGGGGATAGATTTTATTTCTTGTCTGTGCGTTGAAAAGTGCCTGTTTACCCCGTTCCCAAGTGCCATTTCTGCTCTGCGGGTTGAGCCATGGGCTGGATTTTGAGGACTAATCCAAACATGAATTTTTAAGTGTTGGCAGTGCCATATATGTGACACGCTTTTATGGCGGGAATCAGCGAATAACTTTGTGAATCCAAACACTGCAGTCTAGCATTTTTCCTGCTTGACTCTTCTCAATGTTGGAAAAAATTACAATACAAGTAATACCTCAGTTGCACCTTGTAGCTCGTTCCCTTTCTGGAAGCATTCTTTTCTACACTTTAAAGGTCAGCTTTGTCGCATATTCTCACTTACAAATTTATAGCTTAAGAGTGAGAATCACTGACTGGTATATTGGGGTTTTTAAAATTGGTGTTCCTTGTAGAGTTTAGTTCCCTCACCCACCGTCCCTGTTCTGTGAGTTGCCTTACAGCCCCCGCTTCTTCAAGAAAGATGATGGATTTCTTCCAGCTTCTGTTAATACTTTTCATTCCCTCCCTGCTGCTCTTGCTCTAGCCCCCCCCCCCAGGTCTGTGTGTGTGGGTCTGCGTGTCTGCCTTTTCCCTTGTCCTCTCTTCGCCTGTACGTCTGGGACACATTTTAATGCACAATATCCCATCCATTAAGTTGTGGTTGAATGCAGAGTGTGTGAGGAGTTGGCAGCTTTCAGGTTGAAGGGGGCGGGGAAGCCAGTTTCGACTTTGACACAAGATGCCGAGGTGGCGTGACTGGAATTATTATTAGGGCTGTGAACATGGCCATCTTCTCCAGGTTGCAAGGACTGCCGCTGAACTTGAGAAGTACAGACAAGATCTCCACCCCTCCCCCACGTACAGTAGCTGGCAGGGAAAAGGCGCCAAAATACACAAGATTAACTCTGACTTTCTTTGAACAGATCCTATAGCACCATCCTTTGTAACTTTAACTTCCAACAGGCGGGAAAAAGTTAACTTTTGATCCCATACTTGAACAGACATTTAAATCAGCCCTAAAGTGGAGTAAATTCAAAAAATTGTACATGCATGTTTGTGTGCTTAGAAAAGAATGCACGTATAAATAAGCAGGGTGCATGTGTGTATGTGACTGAAGAATTCAAGATTTAATCAAAATGACAATTAGTGTGACTTTCCAGGGCATTACTGTATGCACAAGAGCACTGGGAGGCCAAGAAGCTGACCTTTAAGCAGCCTAAGTAAAAACTGCAAAGAGTTGTGAAACACAAAACGTTGTGGTTTCCAGTTTTACATTTGAGGTTTGATGTTTTCATTTAATGGTATGAGAGATGGAGAAAGCTCCAGCGCTGAAAAGTCCCTATTAAATCATATGTGGGCAGAGGTCAAGCGCTCTAACTCACTGATACAATATACTGCAGGTCCCTGCCTAGCGACGGCAGCACAGGAAAAAGTGCTTGAGCAATAAAAGTATTAGAACAGTAATTATCGTCCGTGGTTCAGACTGCATTCTTGTGCACTGGGAAAAGGGTTTTACTGGCCCTGATGAATTTTAAAGCTGAGTATTGTTGAAAGCTATTTTAATAGGAAATTGATTAGCGGAGTGTTTCATACAATAAATGGTGACAGATTCATTGTTTGATGTTCAAAATAAATTCTTTTTATTCTTTTAACAGACATAGGCATCTATTTAATTTTAGTATGATCAGACATAGCAGCAGCATAATTTTGAGTCAGTGCAATGTCACAGACAGCTGTAACTTTGTTTTTGGAGTTTGTGGCATCACACAATTTGACATTATTGCTTTGAAATTTATTAGCTTGTCGTACTGCTAAAATGTTTCGGGTGTATTCAGAGGTAAGTTTACTAAACATGTATTTTGTGTAGGCCCAACTGTGCCTTTTCTTTATAATTGTGCAGTTGTTTCTTAAATTTTAATGAAAAGGCACAATTCTGTTATACTGTATATTTTTATTTTGAGATAGAATAGCAGTTTTCATAGATTAGAGAAAGGGGGACAGACAGTAAACTGGTCTTCAGTATACTTTTTATACTAAGTACAAAATATGAAGCCCACTTGGCCATTTTGGACAGAGCTTTCTAAATGTCTCTTTAAAACTGATCATTTTCACATGTCACAAAGCATGTGTGAACGGCAACAAAATCCCTTTTACATAGATAAGATGGTGCATAGTTTTAAAGGGCAGCTATTTTGAAAAGAGCAATACTGTAAGCACAACTCTGAACATCAGCACAGTCCACGCTGCGTGCGGGAGTGCATGACACCTTTGTGGTACTGTGAATGAAGCCAGACAACTTATTACTATGATTTTCAAAGTTTTAAATCCCGCCAAAGTTACAGGCCAGCTGCTGATTTTGTAACTAGGGAGCAAATGTTTTCCAAAGTTGGGGCTCTTTGTCCATGAACCCGATTCATCTCTCTCTGTAGAGAAGACTAACAACTTTCGTACAGGAATCTGGCCTGGCTGGTGTTCAGGCTCAGAGCTGCTGCTTGTAAATGTAGACACATACACGGAGTGGGATTTAAAAAAAAAAAATACTTGAGCATAGGCATTTCTGCACTGACATTATTAACAGCGTCATTTCTCTCATTTGGTTTTGTCGTCGGGGGAGACCAAACAGCTCCCAGAGGAGGGAAAAAAGTCCAGGGTTATTTATTCATTTCAGTCAAAGGCAAAGGGCTGGCCAGGGGGGGGGGTGGGCAAACTAACCGGCTGTGAATTCTCCAGTGGGGAAACACCACTACCCTAATTTGACAGTATATTTTTAAGGGCTCAGAGAGCTGGGGATGGTTTTGCAATTCCCTGCAAGTTCAGGCAATTTCAGTACTTGTTGGTTGTTTATGTATTTTTGAGTGGATTTTGGTGTTGCTCTTTGTGTATATTAATGTGTGTTTTCCAGGCTACATATATGTGATTTTTTTTCTGAGGTTGATGTGGAAGAGAGCTCCCTGGGTAGGGAGGGTATAGTGGATACTTGGAGTTCTGCAGGCCTGTTTCCTGGGGTCAGGAGGTCATCTGTCTCTTTTGTGTTTAGTTTTTAAATACTGATATTGGCGATGCAGCCAAGTTATACAAAATTAAGCCTCTGCAAATCATATGTAAGAGCTAAAAAATAAAAAAGATATTGGATGTATTGAACAGTACAGTTTTTTTTTTTTAAAGCTCCAAGGAACCTTGTGTGAAATTGCCGAGGCTTTGCAACCTGTCCCCACAGTTTTGGGAAGGGTGAAAGAAAAGCAGTGTTGGGAGATACCTGAGATATCAAACTCTTCTCTAGAGGTCAGTGAAAGACTCAAACTGGTAACAATGTTTATTTTTAAATACACAATTGGGTTTTGAAAAATCCAGTCACCTGAAGCAGTGCATTCTTTTTAGGACTAAAAACCACCTTTTTTTTTGGTCAGAAAACAAAGTCTCCCCCTTCTAAGGTGGCAGGGAATAGGTGAAGTGGGAGATCCCTGTTAGGAACCCTGGCAGAGCAGACTTGCCAGTCCCTGAGGGGGCATTCACCCCTCTGCACCTCCCCAGCCAGCCTGTCACACCCTCACTTTAACCCTTTCTATCAGATAGGCAGAAGTTGGGGGCAGAGAAGACCGAGTCTGAATGCTTGGCCCACTTTGACAGCAGCAGAGACTCTCCAGACCCCAGAGCACATGCACCCTGGAAGGAAGGGAAAGTGAATAACATGCATGTTCTTTCCTGCTTCCTCTTCTCTACTGGTAGGAAGTGAAAAGGTTATTACTTCTCAAATCAAAGGTGGCTGACAGGGACTTAGACAAAGCAGGGTAGTCAGATGTTCCAAGTACCCCAATTCTTCAACCCCTCAATTACAGAAAGACTGGAGCTCTTCCTGGGGAGACCTATGGTGACCTTGGCTTTGGCTGGACAGGAAGTGCTGGCTGTGGCCCCAAGCCCCAGGACTTCGCCATCTCCAGGGAGCACCCATGAAGTGCTCCCTTCCAGGCGGTCCCTCTGCTCAGTCTTTACTCCTTTTTGGCTTTCCATGTCTCACCACTACTACTTCATTTTCCTTTTTCTTGGAAACCAATGAAACCCCAGAACTATCAAGTATCTTCCATGGTCAACAAAGTGTACCCAGCCATAAGCACTGTACAACCCTGGGGCATCAAAAAGCAAGCTGAACCCCTAAGGGCAGGGCCTAGGAGGCCCCAGGAGCCTCCACTCATCTGGGGTCTTACCTGGGTCTGTCGCTTGCTGCTTTGCCCCTGGTGTTGCTTGCAGCTTTTGTGAATTCTTCTGCAGTAATGGTTGTCAATTTCTCTCTTTTCCTTTTAAGCTTGTGAGAAACTTTTGGATGCAACCTAGTTTTGTTGGCAAAAGGAAATGGTTTCTGCAGGGAAAGGCGAGTACTGGGGAGGAGGGGCAGCACTGTCTGGAGTCACTTGCCCAGAGCTGGGCACCAGGCCTCTTTTGCCAGGGGACCAAGGCTGGTTCTGGGCTCTGGCTGAAAAGAGCTCTCTCTGGGTGCCAGGATTTCACGGGGGGTGGTGTGGTGGGAGGGAGGGAAGGAGGGGGGAGCGAGAAAAGGAGAGGGAGAGGGGGAGGGAGAAGTGGTAAAGGAGGAGGGTGAAAGGGGCAGAGGCAGGGAGAGGGAGCGAGACAGAGAGGCAGAGGGAGAGAGTGAGAGGAAGAGGAAGAGATGGGGAGAGGGAAGGAGACCAGATTTTTAGAGCCCCCAAATAATGGCTTCTCTGAGTCCAGGCATTCAAAGAGGTGTGTCAAGGACAGGAGTGCATTCGTGCCAAAGGGAATGTCTTTTATGGTAAATTAACTCCAGTTAAATTGAATATTTGTTCAAAGGGAAACTCCAGTCCTTAAAGCTGGCATTATCAGTCAGTGTCCCTGCCCCCTCCCCGAGGACTCGGAGAGCGACCGAGGCTGCGGCCCTCCGCCAGCCAAAGCGATGCTTCGGGTTTGCTTGGTTTTTACATTTCAGAAGAGGTGGCCTAAAGTGTATTAGAAAGACACGAGTATTTATTTGAATGAGCCCCAACTGTCAACTCGTTTCTTTCATCTCTAGACTGTCAACTTTATCTCAGCTGTTCAGAAGGACGAGACGCCTGGCACAAAGGAAACGGTCAAGGCCGGGCGGGGAGAACCCCGGGGTCCCCCGGGCGCCCCACTCCACCCCGCGGGCCAGGAGTGCTCGCCTGTTTAGCAGGGCTTCTCGCGGACGCGCCGGGGTGGAGCATTTCCTGATGAGGACAGGACGGGGTTAAAAAGTGACCATTTCACGCTTGGCCTGAACCTGCCTACTTTTCGCGCTGTGGGTAACTCGCACTTGGTGCAGGAAACGTCAGCGTCTCCCTCAGGTCTGCGGGCGGCGAGCCGCAGGGAGGAGAAAGTTGGGGATACTCGCGAGTGGACAGCGGCCCCGGCCAGCCCCATTGTCTGGGCGGCCTCCGGCTCCCTGCGCCTTGCCCGCCCGGGACACGGCGGGTGGGGGCGGCGAGGGCCAGGGCTGGGCCTCCCGCGGAGCCCGCGGATCCGTGTGCGGGGCGCGGGCAGCAGCGAGAGTCGGGACGCCCCGCCCGC